AAAAAAGTAAAAAAAAATTTGTTTTATTCTCTCCATGGATCAGTATTTTACAAATGAAACTAAGTTTTATGACATATCTAGATTTACATGAAAATGAACTTATCTGAAAACCAATTTTACAGATGGATGAGTTCATCTCCATTGCTTTGTGTTAAGGAAATAACTAGTGTTATGGAGAGGCAATATTATATAGTAGTTTTGAACTTGCATTTTGGAATCAGGCAGACCTGGCTTAGTCTCCCCCATGGATCATTTATGCCAGGTATGTGATTTTGAACAAATTTCCTACCCCCCGCCCCGTGCCTGTTTCTTTATGTGTAAAATGGGTTCTGCTGCATTATTATAAAGATTAAATAAGAAAATTATGGGGGCGCCTGAGTGGCTCAGTCAGTTAAGTATTCGACTTGTGATTTCGGCTCAGGTCATGATCTCAGGGTTGTGAGATCAAGCCCCTCATCCAGCTCTGTGCTCAGTGGGGAGTCTGCTGCTTTCCCTCCCTTTGCCCTTCCCCTTACTTGCATTCCCTCTCTCTCTCTAAAATAAATAAATCTTTTTAAAAAAAATTATGTAAAAAAGTATGAATTGGAAAAAAAATTGTTTACAAATTTAGTTCCTTTGGTCTTCTGGGGGGGGTGGCATAGTTCATATCAATGGGAAAATAAATATCTTTATGGCTTGATTGATACATTGAATGAATGTTTGTTGAGTGTCTTTGCTTTGCCAGGCACTGTGCCAGGCATTGGAGATAATCACACTAACCCCAACAGATGTGGGCTCTGCTTTCATGGACTATTTAGCCAATTGGGAGAGATGGATGTAATTCAAATATTCATAAATGTAAAATTACAGCAGTGGCAAAGTGCCATGGCAGAGAGGTTATAATGCTACGAAATAACAGAATAGAGAACTCTGACTCCCTTGGGAGGGCAAAGGAAGACTTCTTTAATGAAGGGACAATTGGGCTGGAATCTAAACATTGAGTAAGGTTAACTAACCAAATAGGGGATGGGAAGTCAGTCCAGGTAGTGAGAACATGTGTTTAGTGGACATTTGTTGATTTGGGGGCCATCCTGCATCCATTTCTCCTCCTCCTGGTAAGAACTCCCAATTTTCTTTTGGAGAATTACTTTGTCTTCATTGTTTAAAGCTTTACTGGTACTTTTTTTTTTTTAATATTTTATTTATTTATTTGACAGAGAGAGACACAGCGAGAGAGGGAACATAAGCAGGGGGAGTGGGGGAGGGAGAAGCAGGCTTCCCGCCGAGCAGGGAGCCCGATGTGGGACTCGATCCCAGGATCCTGGGATCATGACCTGAGCCGAAGGCAGACGCTTAACGACTGAGCCACCCAGGCGCCCTACTGGTACTTTTAAAAAAATATATTTATTTGAGAGAGAGAGAGCACACAAGCAGGGGGTAAGGGGCAGAAGGAGAAGGAGGAGCAGACTCCCCACTGAGCAGGGAGCCTAAAGCAGGGCTCAATTCCAGGACCCTGAGATCATGACCTGAGCCAAAGGCAGACACTTAACCGACTGAGCCAGCCAGGTGCCCCTGGGCTTTGGATCTTACGTAGAGTGGTGCAAGGGGTGGGGGGTATAGTCGGAGCTGATATTTCCCAATAGTGGTGCCCTGATGAGACTTCCTTTTGCTTCTACCCTCTGTGTCCCTGGAGCTACTCTGACCCTTCACCTATTCCTTTGACTCAGAAGCTGCCCACAGCCATCTAGTAAATCCCCTGTGGCAGGTGGGCAGATGTATTGGGGACTGAAAGAAAGCCAGTTTCACTCAAACAGAGGTAAAATGGGGTTACACTAAGCAAGAGGAGCAGAAGGATGGGAGCCAGAACATGCAGGGCCCTGGAGGCCATGTTGAAGACTTTAGTTTGTTTTTTTAAAGATTTTATTTATTTATTTGACAGAGAGAGAGCGTGAGAGCACAAACAGGGGGAGCGGCAGAGGGAGGGGGAGAAGCAGGCTCCCCACTGAGCAGGGAGCCTGATATGGGGCTCGATCCCAGGACCCTGGGATCATGACCTGAGCCGAAGGCAGCCACTTAACCGACTAAGCCACCCAGGCATCCTGAAGACTTTAGTTTTTATCCTAAAACCTGTGAGAGTTGTTGAAGTAATGTAAGCACTGGGATAATGTAATCAGGGTTGCTTTTTGAAAAAATCTCCTTGGACAAAAAAATTGGGGAGGAGACCGTAGAAGTAGGTAGACCAGGTTAGGGGGCTATTTAGTAGATCGGATGAAAGATGAAAATAGTTTGGTGGTACCGTAGTAGAGATGGAAAGAAGTGACAAACTTGAGATTTGAGGAAGTGATTTTTTTTTTTTGGAAGTGATTTTTTTTTTTTAAGATTTTATTTATTTGACAGAGACACAGCGAGAGAGGCAACATAAGCAGGGGGAGTGGGAGAGGGAGAAGCAGGAGCCCGATGCGGGGCTCCTTCAGAAACTCTTGCCTTGCTGTCTCTATCAATCTGTTGCCCAGTCCTAACTGCTCCCAAACTCATAAATACCTCGCCACTGCCCTTTCCTTACCAGATGTGGCTAACATTCGATGAAGGTAGCGATCTCCCTTATCTTAGTAAGCTATAAACTCAACTTTGCCTCATTCACAAGCTCTTTGGTGGTGCTTTGCGGGAAAACATTTGACAGGACTATTCTTACCGCCATTTTACAAGTGAGGAAATTGAGGCCCAGAAAGGTTAGTTAATTTATCTGAAGACACAGAGCTAGTGAGTGGTGTGTCCAGGGTTGAAATCCTGCATTCTTCTTCCAGAAAGTACACATCCAGTCACAAGTCTACACTTCCTCCCTGTATATTTGAAATCATACAATAAAGTCACTTACTCTTTCTCCACCAGTCATCAACCATGTGGTGATGATCTTGGAACTCAAATGGCTTCCTGAGCTAGGCTACGCTTTCAGCTTGCTGAAGCCAGGAATGTGGTGCTTTCAAACTCTCTAAACCCCGAGGCACTCCCACCTGCTTAAATTGTTAAACAAAAAGAGGTGTGTTACCTGGGGTCTGTTACTGCTTTCCTTTAATGTCCACCTGCCTGAGCCACAGCCGTTTTCCACAGAGTGGCTGCCTGACAGCCACCATTGTGTCCCTAGCCTGGGGTGACTGTGCCCACCGCTTCACACTGAAAACAAACTGCTTCTTTCTGCTCCCTTACTGCACACAGCCACCTTTTTCTGTCCCCAGTCTTATGCCTGCCCTGTCTTGCAATCCGGCTCAGGATGCTCAGCATCCTGGAAGTTCTAGCTGACCACACCTTGGCAGCAGAGAGCCGGCAGGCAGATGCATGCTGCTATGGGTGGGGAGGTTTCCCATCTGGCAGCCCCTCCCAGATGGAAAAGAAAAACCAACACAAATTACGAAAGAACATGTATCTTCAGGCTCCCTCTCCTTACTGCCTGTGGTATGTCTCTGCTGCCAAGGGAGGCCACGGGCCAGGACCTCCTCAGATAGGCACAGTAGGCCCAATGCCTATAGCTCATAGTATTTTTAGGAGCTCACAAAAATGTAGTTTTAAATGAGAAGGGAAAGAGAAACTTCTAGTAAAAAATATTTTTAATATATAATATTAATATGTCCATCTTTATACCAACACAGTCATAAAATGTAATTTTTCATATTATTTTAAGGAAGAACCCAGAAAGGCAAAATGCCTAGGGGACATGCAAGTCATAAGATAGCCCTGCACCTGGCACCTCCTT